AATATTGAGAAATATTGATATTATTTGATACTATTCAGTGTCTGATGTTTCATGTGACATTCCTGCATAAAGGGGAGGAGTTCCACAGACACATAAATGAAAAACTATTCCTAGAAGTAAACTGGTTGTTATTAACAGTTATTTAATCTAGACTTATTACAGTTATTCTAACAGTACTTTAAATGCATATAAATTCTTATTTGTTGCAATGGTTCGATTTTAACCAATATATTTGCTGATGTATGCATCTGTAGTTTGCAGTGGCATCATTTTAGTGTAATTAAAACATTTCCATACTTGAAGATCAAATCTTAAAGTGAGAAGATCTGCATTTATCTTCTTGTAGAAGTAAAATATGTGACCTAATAAATTCTGCTTCCTTTAGAAGAAAAAAAACAGAGTGACAAAGTGTCCACAGTCTGGCAGCTGAAATGACAAACCGACAGACCAAGTACCACAGTTTCTGTCACAACTTTTGTATAAATCAGTTTATTTTATTTTATAACTAAATCTCCAGCTCTCCAGCAGCACTGTTTGACTTTCTTGTCATTTCCTCAGCAGCCTGTTAGCTAGCTACCGTCACTGTTAGCTAACTAGTTAAACGCCAACCTTTGTCAGATCCACTCCAGAGCCGACTATCGGCAGCCCGTCCTCGTCCATGATGGATTTTACAGGATTCCAGCTGATTAAAGTGCAGTTTTAAGACGAACAGCAAATAATTTCACTGTCAAAAGACAGAAAGCGGTGCATTAAAATGTTTGCAGTCAAACGTTTCACGTGACTCTGAGCTGCGTGACTGCGCCATGACGTCACAGCAGCGTGAGGAAGAGGTTTGAGCTTTTATTGTGAAGTCTAGCTTTCTGTTTTGAAAAGTTTATACAGAAACAGATTTTATTGTATCAAACGTTATGAAATAGGAATGAACAGAATAAAATCAACAGAGGTGTGAAGAGTATTCACTACACAGGCAGATAAAATGCATGAATAAGAGCTAGTGTAACAATAACGTTTGTCTCTCAGCAGTGGGTTGTGTTTTCTTTTTCTTTTTTTACTAACATCAAAATGATCCTTTCACACATTGATCCATTTGATTCTATTAAAACAACCGACAGATTAAGTGGAAAAATGCATCTGACATGTATTCCATAGAAAATTTGCTGTAAATGCATTGGTTTGTGTCTCTAACAAAAGGAGGTTCAGGACAACTTCTACGATTTAATTTGATCATCATTCTATCTAGTCTTACAAGCTGTTCGCACAGCTCTGACAGAGGAATAAACATAATATAAAAATAATAATAAATCCATAAAGTAAGACACCTAGAAATCTAGTAGTATTGCATGCAGTGCAAACAGCTCTGAAAACGTAAATCACCAGGATATGAAGGAGCTTTTGCATATTATAACTGTAAATGTCTTGGCATTTTTCTTGCTTAACTGTACACTTTTTTGTCTTGTGTCTTTGTGTTCAGTAACCTATGCACTATCAAGATCAAGATAATGTTAATGTCTTGTAGAGGGGGAAACTCTAGATTAAATTATTTATTGGTGAGCATCATTTATCTAAGCTGTTAAATGTTTATTCTTTATCAAGGAAAGTTGCATTATGATGGACATTTCAGTTTGTAATAGATGTGAAAGGGGAAAAAAACTGCTGAAGGGGGCTTTAAAGATGATGAGGAGGAAAGCGGTCATCAGTCTGAATATTTTATTTTGAAAAGCGAGACGCAGGAGGGAGTTGAGGATACGGTGCTTGCGTGCTAACAGCGCATGTTAGCCACCAAGTCAAACAACTGAATTTTGCATTAATTTCTCATCGCGACAAGTGGCGGCCTGCACTGATGGAGGTTTTTGGGTCAACAAAGAAACCAAACGGTACGTAAATGAGCAGCCTGCTGCCGCCGGAATGGAAAGTAAACTGTGTTTATCCCACTGACACAGTTAGCGGGACCCGTCTAATTAAAGGAATCAGTACATTCATTCTGTCAGACTGCAGCTGTCACATAAGATGTAAATATGATATATTAGCATTTAATATAATGTCAGAAAGTACACTTTATTATTCTGATATATAAAGTACAGCTTATTGGGTTGTATGTTAGAACTCTTATTTTATAGTTTTGTCCAGTATTTATACTGATTCATAGGCCTATAGCTTGTAGTTTAAATATAAGGCAGAATAAATAGAGTCATTAACTGTAGTAACAGTGTCATTGCTATGATTGAGCAAAGTGTTGGCTGTGTTACATGTCTAATCTGAAAGTTTTAATTTAAAGATTTTAAAACGAGTAAATTAAATGAGGGATTTTGTGTTTATTGCTGCAAGTCCACTCTGAGTTAAAAGCTCATTGCTGCCCTCCAGAGATCCTTTCTTACATTGCATCCTTGTTTCAGATCCTAGCCTGCCTCTGTCTTCCCTTCGCCTCCTGGTCCCTCCTCTGCAGCTCCTGTCTGCTGCTATGTGGCAGCTGGCGAAGCAGAAAGATGTGATGAACTACGAGAAGCTGCAGGAGTTTGTGTTCATGGTGACGGAGGCAGTACCTGGTCTGATCAACCACAGACAGAGAGCCCAGCTCATCCTCGGCCTACGAGCAAGGGTGAGCAGTACTTTGCGTCATCGACAATTGTGCTCATTTAGTTGTTAGAATTCTTCAGTAACTCAGTCTGATCATATTTCAGTTGATTCTGGAGCTGTGTAAAGGCTCCACGCCTGGTTCTGTTGATTCTCAAGTGATCCAGAGCTACTTGGACAGACTCCCAATAACCTCTGCAATCACAGACGTAAGTACAGTTAAGGACAACAGATAACACCAGTTAATGATTAGAACTCTTTTAATGACATGAATCCAATTTGTGGCAGTACAGGGATGCTGAGGTGAAAACAACAGAGTCTACTTTTATTGCACTTGTCCAGAGCCTGCTGAAAGATCCAATCGAGAGGGCATATTTCTTTCAGGTAAGAAGCATTTTGAAAATTAAGTATTTCTTTCCTTGAGAGAACATCAACTAACATTTCATTATCTTTTACAGGAGGTTTTCCCAGTGGAATACGGTCCACAGTATGATGCAGCGCTGCACGTGTTGCTGTGGGAGCTGCTCTCAAAGCTGGAAAAGCTGCTTCCAATACCAGACCTTAAACAGGTATTCATTCCATCAGTCAGGTTGTTCTACCTGTGCTGAGCCATTTGAACAAGGACTTAAAAACAGCTGCTCTATCATTACAGACTGCAGCCTGGCTCTGCTCTGCTCCTTCTATTTTGGAGGAATGTGTTCAGTCGTCACCTGAGGATCTGAGCTTAATCTTCGATCACTACAAAAGTTCAGGACTACTGAAAATGGCATGTAAGTGGAGCTGAAACAACTTGTCAACTGATCAAAATATAATATAATAATATCAAAGAAAAAAAGTACAATTTCAGATTTATGATCCAGTATCAGTTCTTACAATTTCATATTCAAGCTTTATTTGCATCTGTGCCTATTGTCGGTAAAAACACACAAAATTTGCATGAAAATATGTTATTTTCACAATTTTAAAACAAGGAGATTTGTTTATTTTTTGGATTTATTTTTATTTAAACAGGAAACGTGTCATTGAGGTGAAGAATCTCTTTTAAAAGAGCGTCAATTTAACAGTTTACTAAGACCTCATTTAATTTTTATGTAGACCTTATTTCACTTGTTTATGTGACAAGTTAAAGTTTACATAACTTACTCATACATTATGAGTGTGTGACAGTATCATAAAATCATATAAACATATATATGTCACAAGTATTCGATTTCAGAATTTTAAATTAAAACTTTTCACACTGTGTGCACATGAAATAAAATGAAATTCTTGGAAACACAGTGGTATTTTGACAGTGTTGGTCTTTATTAGGAGTTTCTGACATTTATTTAACTTAAATTTAATCAAATAGAAAAATAAATGCCAAAAACCTACTTCTGTATAACATAGTAGATGAAGTATATTTAGGTTTTAGACTGATGGTATAAACTGATGTTGGGACTTCTAAAATATTTTATTACCTATTTGTTAATGTTTTATTAAGTTAAACAATTGTTGGTTGGTGTGAAAAAATATCCTAAAAAATATAAAAGATCATTAATTACAGCCGTATATGTGAGTATCCTGAGCTCATGCTGTTAAAGTAGTAACGCTATCATCAGTAGGAACTAATTAATTTTTGCCGTGTTTCTGTTTTTTACAGATGGCCCCTCTTCCACTGTTGGTAACTGCATCATGTCGGCTTTATCGATTCCTCCTTCACAAAAGACAAACATATCAGTCGGACTGGAATCCATCCATAACTACGCCAACATACTGAACCCCATCACTTTTGCTGGATCAGACCAGTACAGTGTCGTCACCGTCTACACTGAAGTTGAAGTCGGAGCATCCGAGGTGGACGAGGAAATGATGGAATCAGCTGAAGTTCAAGTTCAGACAGATTTCTACGAGGAGGAGATTGTGGCTGTGAGCACGGATAACACTGGCAGTGAGGAGGCAACTGGCGTGAGGTCTGAGGAATCGAGTGAAACTGTAGATGTAGCGAAAGCTTTGGAGACTTTGACAAAAACTTTTGCATTACGGAAGGAGAGCCTGGGTCAGGATGCAACAATGGGAAAGAGCAATGATTCGTCCCTTAATGACGGGCTTGGGTCTGGAAATGGACCAGATGAAGGAAAAGCACAAGAAGGACATGAAACAAGTGACCAAACAGAGGAGAAAAGAGAAAACACTGCAGAACAAGTGATGAATGATTTCCAGCCTGGAGGATTAGAGAGCAATACAGACTCTTGCACCGACCTGAAGGAAAACGTTTCCAGTGACGTGACTGAAACACAACAGTCTGACTCTTCAGCTAACATACGCAGATCTTCACGTCTGCAAACAAAGACTTCACCGTCGTGGAAAATCAAGAGGACGACAAGAGGAGTTGGCGAAGAACCAAAAATGTACAAAAACGATTTATACTGTGATCCTGTAAATGTTTCCTATTGTTATCAGTTTTTTGTCACTCGATTTTCTGCAGCCAAAACACCTGCAACATTACATAAGAACAGCACCAAAAACAGCTACTGGAGACACATTTGTTATGATTTTTTTCGCCATGAATGCAGTTGTGTTTTGATTAATTTGTTGTTTTAAATCTTGAAAAGCACCTTTTTTTTAAAAAAAAATGTGTGCTTATTTTAGTCTAAAGATACAGCACATGTCAGTTTGACCGTTAATAGATTTATTTAGGAAGTAAAACAATAGTTTGACATTTAATGAATATGCCTTTTTGCTTTAAAGCTGAGACTTGGAAAAAGAAGATCAATCACTACTCTTATGTCTGCTGGGTTTTCACGATCATTGAATTATAGTTGATTATTAATTTTCTGACAAAAGATTAATGATCTAATTGTATTTTTCAGTTAAATTAATGCCTTATTAGCTTTAAACTACTGATATTAGCGTCTTTGACTGCAACCTTTTTGCTGCAAATCTGACAAATCGCACCTACAGCACGTATGAAGCAACAGCCAGCAGCCTGGAACACCTACTTAAGATAACAAAATCTGCCTGACAGCACTGCTGAAGCTCACTAATTAACATGTTATTGTGGTGATAGTAGGCAGCGTCTGTTGTCTTTGCACATAGCCAGGCTAGCTGTTTCCCAAGGCTTTCAGTCTTTGTGCTAAGCTAACTAGTTGTTGTTTACTTGTTTACTGTACAAATATGAGAGTGGTTCTCATTTGATGCTCATCATGAAGCCGAGAATTTGTTTATGGTGCACAATTATTTACAGAAATGTTAAAATTATCTTTATTTAAAGATTTACGTGATGTTTTTGTTTCTCCAGGAGCACAACTGATGTGTCAGTTGCCCCGTCTGTGATCGCCATCAAAGGATCTGACAAAGGTATATGACACAAAGAAGAGAATAATGTTAGACTTGTTTCTGAAAACTCAAAGATTTTACCCACTCACCTATTTCTTTTTCTTATATGCAGATGATTCAGAGGAGACGATGTCTATCATCTTCACCTGCTCTCAGTGTCCTTTCCATCTCTCGGATGTAAACAGTCCCCCTCACTTCCACATGCAGAGTGTTAACACAGGAGTGTACAGGACTCTTTCAGGAACCAAATTTACACCATCTCCCTCCAGCACTGATGAAATATTTACATCCATTAAACTTTTTCCCAAAGAAAACATAGAGGAGAGAAAAGCAGAGCAGCCTGACAGTCAAAGTAAACTAAATGTTTCTCAGTCACTCAGCAGACAGAAGGCGCTCACATGTGAAACGTGTGGGAAGACATTCACCCGGACGTCAGACGTCAGGAGACACCAGCTCACCCACACCGGAGAGCGACCGTTTCACTGCTCACAGTGCGACCGAACTTTCCAGCACTCATGGGATCTGGCAAAGCACGAGAGTAAACATCACGGCATGGCCATCTCCTTCTCATGCCAGCTGTGCAGGAGCTCCTTCGCTAATCTCAAAGCACTGACCGTCCACCATAAAAAGGTTCACTCAGAGGAGAGCCAGCTCCCTCAGATCTGCTCCATCTGCAGCCGGAGCTTCCCTTCTCCCTCAGAGCTGCTTGAGCACAGGAAGTCCCACGTCACTACTAAACGCTACATCTGCCAGAAGTGCGGCGAAGGCTTTGACTCCCTGCTCGCACGCTCCCAACACCGGCAGATGCATCAGGTGAAGCATCAGTTTAAATGCCCACATTGTGAGAAAACATACACCCGGAGGTCCGACGTAAAGAGGCACCTGTCCACTCACACTGGAGAGCGACCTTATCAATGCAACCAGTGCAGCAAACAGTTCTCGCTCCGCTTTATGCTCATCAAACATCTCCGTGTTCACACAGGCGAGCGGCCTTTCCAGTGCTCCCACTGCCCCAAGAGGTTCACTCTGGTGTCAGTGCTGGCCAGACATGAGAGGATGCACACTGGGGAGAAACCGTTCCTCTGTTCTCAATGCGGGAAAGGGTTTTTGTCACAAGGCGAGCTCTCGAAGCATCACAGGTCACATGTGGATGACAGACCCTACCCCTGCTCTCAGTGCGACAAACGTTTCAAGAGCAAGAAAACCCAGCAAGAACATATAGTCTCTCACACCGGCGCCCGCCCGTACCCCTGCACCTACTGCGGCAAAGGCTTCACCAAACCATACGCACTGACCAGACACAACCTCATTCACACAGGAGAGAGGCCGTTCCCCTGCGGACACTGCGACAAGTCCTTCCTCACGCTCAGCGAGGCTCAGCTGCACCAGAGAATTCACACGGGCGAAAGGCCGTATCCCTGCAACATGTGTGAGCTCAAGTTCAAGAGCTCATCAGAGCTGGCACGACACAAACGCTGCCATTCTGGGTTGAAGCGGGTGAAACCATATTGTGAACAGTGCATGAAAGCGTTCGCCTCCAAGGCCAAACTGATGAAACACATGGAGACACACAAGGACGAGGGAGGAGCAGCACAGACTGTGGACTCAAGAGAATCAAGTACTTAAATACATAATAGACTTTGTCAGTGGTTCAACCAGTGAAAATGTAAAATAGAGTGTTTATTGTTTCAGAATGGTTAGGTTTACATGTTTACAGTTATCAAATTTAAGAAGTTCTGATGAGAGAGTGTATTTTGGCTGATCTGAGGGGTGTACCATGAAACAAGTGTGACTTAGCCAGGCTTTCTTTGCATTAGCTGAGGGCTGTCATACAAAGCGAGATTAGCGGGTTAGCAAAGTACCTTTGAGTAAATTTTGCAGAAACACCAAACTTGTTAAACACAAATCTTTCTGACATATCAGCTTAACTCTTCTCACTTTGCAACAGGGGAAGAATAATTATGTTCAAAATGGAAATCACAAGTGAACAAAAAGTGTTCAATAAATAGATTTTTTTTACTCCGTATGCTGCACTCGTTTCCTTCTCTGTGTTGTAGTTGTAATATTTTGTGCTTAAATGAAAACAAGGGCACCTCTCTCATCTTTAGAAGGAGGCGAGCAAGTGGCAAATAAGTGAGAAGACGTCTTCGTCTGAGGCTGTAACATCTGAGAAAATGTTGACGTAAAGGTTTACAGTAAACAGGTGATACGTGGAGGAGCATCAGTTCAAGGGACAGATTGTATAACTTGAGAGTTGTACAATATACAGCCCAGAATGATAGACGTACAATAAATCCTGCTTTTAGAGTACAATGTTCAGTTTCTGCTGAGAGTTATATTGCATTAGAGTACATCATCATATTTACCAAACTAAGTATTTAGATCATTAACAAGGACAGGAAATCAGAAAAACATTTATACTGCACCAACTTTGATTTGTTTGAAATGATTTTCGTCATTTGTCAATATTAACTGTTGAATGCATTGACCTGAAATTAGGTACGCATTCCCTTAAGGAGTAAATAAAACGACTTTAATAATTACATAATGTTTCATTTATCACCATCATCTCATCATCAATGTAACCTCTCATGGTCCGATTAATCCAAACTGCATTTTTTGTGCAGATTATTGAATGTTGCACAGCTGAGCATAGCATTGCTGTAGACTCTTGTTTCTACCATTGGGGTCTCTATGAATTCACAAAATGAAACAATTTAGGAAATCCCTGGTTGAACACTTGAAGATATGCAAGCTGTCACAAACAACAAGGAGCTGCAAGTTTAACTTTGTTTAAAGCATATGCTGCCGTATAGTGTTTATTTATTGAATGGACTGTTTCAAAGGAGCGACTCTGCAACCCACTTCTCCAAACTCATTGATTTTCAAGGAGTTGTACTTTGAAATCTGATCCTGCATGTCAGGTGATGTGTTTTCTTTCCTTTCTATCCAAAGTGCACATAAAACTGAATGACCTGCTGAAAGTGATGGTTGTAGTGTAAAGATTCCTTCTTAAACATCATAAACATGATCTCATTTCCTCTACAGACCTTCAGCTGCCTGTTGTAGAAGCAATCTGCCCCTGCTCACTGGAGAACTAATGAAAAGCATTGTGGTCAGTCCAGTCGAATTTCATTTATTTTTAATACAGGAAAATAAAAGTAAAAGGTGTATCATGAGAGCAGATTGCAACCTCACCCCCTCTCCCCTCCCCTCCCGTCAGTTTTTCTGGGTATTCCCCTCGCTGTCATCATTTCAGTATTATGGGTATCCTCGTAAAATAAGGTATTTGAATGTGTTTAATTAACTGAGACGCTTTAATTAGCTCTGACCAAGCGGGTGGTTGATTGGGGGAAGGCCGATGCCAGGCAGGAATCACTGGGATAAAACTGGCTGCATCGTTTAACAGGGGACCAACAAAGTGCAATAATAACATGTCTAAAGGGGTTAGAAAATGGTTTTCTATTTTTAGCTTGCTTCATGTTTTGAATTTAATCTGAATTGTTGAGACATTCTACAACATAGGAACTGGGTTAAAATAATGTGAAAATGGTCAATATGTTTAAATGTAAGTTCATTTCTAGGATCAAAATTCCACTTTATATTTTATATGAGAGGCAACAAACAACAAACAAAAGAATAAAGGGCTAATTTTTGTACTCAAACTGATAAATGCCCTGTAAATATATTCTCCTAAACTGCTTCTGACAGTGACAATCCTTAAACTTTAATGTTTGGGTTACGTAAAAGGAGCGTTTTCTCTATTTGTGTTTTTGCTTTATTAATAAGTGGCAATGAATCTGTGTTTTGTGCATCAAAAAACACCCACACAGCCCCTATTAGGCAAATTAGCAGGGGTTTTGAGTCTTAATAAGTAAGGCTGTTTTTCGAAACTTTACCTCTGCTCGATGCTTATTTATTCATCTAAGTGCGTTTTTGGCCGGTGCATTGAGCGTGCAGGGACAACCTCAGGCGATGCGAGAATGCCTTTCTGTTTTAAGATAAGCTTTTACTGCGCTGACTAAATCTAAATGTCAACACATTCACTGTATGGACACAGTTTTTCCCACTGAGCTCATTTACTCTACAAATGGAAAATAGTAAAATTCAAAGGGATGCCTCCTCCACACCGAAAGAGGGTGTGCATGGGTGGATTCTCAGTTCATCCCACTGCAATCACCTCTTGAATTGACCGGAGTGAGGGGCAGCAGCGGGCAGGCAGATGTCGGGATGTGACTATCAGCGGAGGGATTTAGAGTATCGGTGACCATGCAGGTGGAAAAAACACCTGAAATAAACCGATGAAAAGGGTGGAAACAAGGCGGCTGTGGATGCAGATAACGACGGAACGCGACACCTATCATTGTGATTTACAGTCCAGTTGGCGTTGGTGTTGTTGGTGGCGGATTAATAACCAGTCATAAAGAGGTGGGAGGAGGATTGTGTGTTGCAGGAGGACGAGACTGAAGGGATTGATAGAGGGAGGAAGAGAGAGGGGGAGTGTGCAAGAGAGAGAGAGAGAGAGAGAGGGGAGTAGATAAAACCATAACCGGGATCATGAGCTCCGCATTGCCTTACGACTCGCTGTCAGCCCGGCCGAGTCCCAGCAGAAGAGCTCTGGAATGGGAGCGCGAGCAGCTAGCTGTACGACGGCTGTCTTCTCCGAGAGGTCTCGACCTGCTCACTCCTCCTCCTCTTCCTCGTCGACCCTCGGCCATCCCTGGCTACCTGCTGCCTCCGTACCAGGAGCAAGAGGAGCAGCTCCAACACCAGCAGCAGCGTCTGTCCCTGTCCGTGTGCTCAGAAGCCTCGCTGGCGCCCCCTGCAGCTCCACCTGTGGGCGCTGCCCCACCCTGCTGCCGCCCAGTGGGAGTCATGCACCTCCTGCGTCTCGGGCTCCTGGCCTTCAGCTGCCTCTTCTGGGCAGCTGGCTTGGCCCTGTTCACCCTGGGTGTGTGGGCTCAGATTTCCCTGGCGGACTACATGCTGCTGTCTGCCAACCGTTACCCCAACGCCCCGCTCATCCTCCTTTCCACAGGTGCTGCCGTCACCGCCTGGGGCTTCCTGGGTTGTCTGGGGGTGGCTGCAAACCTGCCCTGCGTGCTGAGGGCTTACGGGTTCTTCCAACTTGCTGCACTTGTAGCCGGTTTGGCAGCTGGACTCTCAGGCCTATTCTACCGCGAAGACATCGCCGGAGGATTTCGCAGCGGTTTACAGCGAGCGGTGGCGGGCTACACCGAGGATGAAGGCCGTGCCGATGCTCTAGACAGCCTGCAGAGGGCCCTTGAGTGTTGTGGCGCCGACGGTTGGCGCGACTGGCTAACGTCGGACTGGGCGATCCAACATATGACCTTCCTGCCCATCGAGAACGGCACCTCAGTGTCCCTGCCGGACAGCTGCTGTGTGAGGCGCAAGGGCTGCAAAAATCGACCTCTTCTGTCAGATGATATCGAAGGAGTAGCTGCTGCGAGAATCCACCCACACGGCTGCTTCCGCAAAGTCTTCAGCTTGGTCAACGACAACGTCTTCCACATTGCTGCCACCGTGTTGGGATTAGCCTTCATGCAGATCGGAGGCATCGCCCTGGCTTGTCTACTGGCCAACAAACTGACACCCAGACAACACCGACGTGTCGTAGCACATTAATAGTCAATCTAGAAAACTTGGCTAGTACCTCTGGGGTTTGACCAATTTGTAGAAAAATAGGAATTGGAATGAGCAATGGCACTTGAGTGTAATAGAGTTGTGAGGTGGGGCAAGTTGCTATTGGTGCATTCAGGCTTCTGGAAGGAAAAAAAAATCCCTTCATAATAGTCTATTTGGAGGCCTTCTAAGGCTCACAAAGCTGTGGAACTATTTTAATATGATCAGTATACAAAACCAGAACCTGATTGGTGGCATATAATTTTCTGTACATAAAACATAAGGACAAAAATCAACTGCAATTCTTGTTTATATTTTTGTAAGAAACATTGAATTGCAGAGATTTAAAGTTAACATTTTGCAGAAAATTGATTCTTATATTACCTCAAGCAATTTAAATGAATGCTCTTCCTTTTGCAGCTGTATTGCACTCACTGGTCTGAGCCTGAATCCACATAATAATGACACATTCTGTTACATTCAAGATGGATGGAAAGTGACTCCTTGGTTTAACTTTTGTTTGTTACATGCAGGGAGATGGTATATTGGAAAAAAAAACTGGGGTTGCGCCAGATTGACTTTAAATCACTAAATAGTAGTACAATGACACTTTGACTTTTCTTCCTTCTTGGTATATGGATTGTTTAAAAGACAGCATGAATTAATATGCTTCTCTCTATATATATAATGTATAAAAACTATTCTGAATGTAACATATTCATATTATTTGATCCTCTTTTAGTACATTTCAGCACCGAATGCACAGGAATGTTCACCAGCATTTTTCCACGTAGTTATTTAGTCTGGCTGTGTTCAACAGATGTTTGTATCTACATCATTTAGTTTCTCCATCACAAAGACAACACTGTGCTCGAAAGGTGCTTTTGAAAAGCTTTTGAAGAGAGCTTAACGTATTGCTGTCTGGTATTTTGTGCTGTTTATACAGCTGAAAGACTGTAGTCTGTCTGTTTTCACTGTGTAGAGTGCTTTGGTTCGAGATTTTTGTAATATTATGACTGCTTCAAAACGTTTTCTTTCAGATGTCAGTGTGTTGTTAGATGTTCTGAGGCACAACATTGAAATGTATGAATAACACTTTTCAAAATATTGAGTTATATTGCATGGCCCAGATCATGTCCAGCCTACTAGCATGAAACACCAAGATTTCTGAATTTTTCTCACCTCAAGTTGATTTACAGTAAATAAAGAGTCACTATTTTGAGAAATATCTTCATACATTCAGGATTAGATGAGAGTATTGATAGCATTTTTAATTTCCGTGTACTAAATATGACAGTACAACCAAAGGATAGCAGTCTTTAGGCTAGACTAAGCTAATTAGCTAATTTCTGAACACTAAATACAAAGCCACAACCAGAAGTTTGCAGTCTATGTAAGGCTAAGTTAGTTTGTTCATTTCTTTCTGCTAGATGTTAAGTTACAACCAGCAGCTAGCAGTCTTTATGCTAAGCTAAGCTAGTTAGTGTAGTCTAACCTAAAGAGTGAAAGAAGAGAAAAAGCTAGCTTGGCTAGTTAATTTATTGAGTTTTTCATTTCACCCATAAAAACATACAAAACATGATAAACAAGACAGATATGGCGTTATTACTGTGCTAGTTTTATGCAATTATTTTTACCGGTGGATATAGCCAGGCTAGCTAGCTCTTTTCCCTTGTTTCCAGTGATAATGCTAGCTTTTGCTAAGAGGCTGCTGGCAAACTTATCTTCATATATGACATTTGAACATGGTGTTGATCTTTTAATACGTTTGAGCAAGAAAACAAATGGGTCTATTTCAAAAAAACTATTTCTTTGATTAATGTAAGAGTGTTTTTATCGTGTATGAACTTGTTTTTGTACATATTTTGAGATAACTATGCACTGAAATGACACAAATGATACAAAGCCTTCCTTCCAGCCTCCTCATCATACATCTTTCATGTTTCAGTTAGGCCGTATTGCTCTTGTAGCTGTAACGTATGATATACATCCCAAATACAATAATGTGTAATATATTGTAATAATTACCAACAGTGCAAGCAAGCATGACTGAGACTGTAAACTATATGTCGACAATAAACAAAAAATCTTTGCCTCATCACGGGAGTTGATATTGATTAGACACTGGGAATAGTAATGTCACGGTCTGCTGCCCTTGAATATATTGCATTTCTAAACGGCAACAGCAATCTTGTAATACAGTGTTGATGTAGGTAAAAAACACGCAATGAAGTACGGCACTGATCAGAATTATGTCTAATAAACATCCTGTGAAGCACTTTCAGGGTTTTAGTGTGTTTTTTTTCCTGTTTAGGGTAGAATTATATCATTCATTATAGCTAGAGGTGGGTTTTAGCCTCCTGTCTGCATTTTAAAGAGCTTTAGAAACAGCTCTATATCTTTATTTTATGAGAAAGGCCATGCTGGAAGTGCGCCAGAGTGGTAAATTGTCATTGCTGGGAGTGGTCGATCCTCACTGAGACCGCTGGCTGGGCAATTCTGAATTATGACGAACTGAATGACATCTCATTTCTACCAAGCACCTGAGACGATGGTGATTAGATCTGCCCTTGGAGGGAGACAATAGATCGTCTGCAACATAGGCGTATATGCACCGCTGAGTGTAATGAAATGGCAACCTGACCCAGCATTTATTAGTTTATGGAATGCAAAATAATACGATGTGCAATTGGATATTATAAAGGAGATTTTTTTATACTTAAACCAAAAAAATGTACCTTAAAACATAAATATATCAACATGTAGAGGCCACAGCCTAAAGCTTCTCTGTCCCTAAACAATGACAACCATTTTCATGACCTAATTATGCTATTGATTAGCCTACATTAGGCTCTAACAAGGCTTGCGGATGCTGTCTGATTGCGCTGTCCTTATTCTGAGGTTAAACTGTATCTACACTCACAGCTTCATCACACAAAAGATGAGCTCTGAGTGCTATGGAAATGGCACCTTAAGTCAGGGAAACTCCAGGGGGGCTTTTTGTTCGCTTGAAAACTATTTTAGGTCAGGTACTAGATTTAATATTACTTCTGACTTCTGCTGAAACAAAACAAAAACATTCACAGGAGCAACACAAAGTGGCTGCAGACTGATGTGTAGCTCATGTGTGTAAATCATGGCACCAAAACACAGGAAATATGAAGAACTATACGATAATTTATGAAAAATAATTAGAAATCCCAAAATAAATGACTGAAATGCACATGAAATCCTTCAATAAAAGGATATCTTATTCAGTTGTTAAATTATCTGAATACTTAGAGTTGTTGTAAAAATGTAAAAGCCATATTGTTGCATCTTTGAGCTTCAGATTTTCACTCTGCTCAGATAAATATAGCTTTAGGCTCTATACACAAAAGGGTGTGTCTCTAAAACCTCTACAAGCCTCCTGACTCTGATAACAACACGGATCCCTCTTATTTGGTGTTTGGCTGGCTGCACTTTTGGAATTCGAAACCTGTGCTGTCTGGAAAATCGTATTCGTTGCAAGTGTAGCTTGAAATATGTCCAGATTTGGCTTGTAGATTTAGAATTTTCGAATGCCATTGTTTAGAGCAACATATCCAAAGTGTGTCTTTAATCGCTTGTTTGAAGTGAAACTATTTTCAGCGGAGGAACTGGTAGAACTCCAGACTTTATCTCAACTCTCCGCCTCTTGAAGTCCGACCTACATCTGACTACTTTGGTCCTTTGCCGTTTGCACAGCAGTCTGCGCTCTGCCCCACATTTAATTTGGTAATTCTCGCCGCCACCGCTCGCCTGACGCTGCGTAAAAGCCGCTGCGCACCGCTTAGAAATGTAGTTGTTTTTACGCACAACCGCGGTCTCCAAAATGGACCTAAGAGCCGAACTCCTCAAGTCCATCTGGTACGCTTTTACATCGCTGGACGTGGAGAAGTGCGGGAAAGTGTCCAAATCGCAGCTAAAGGTAAGCAGGAAAGCAGAGAGAATTTTTGAGTTGAGGAAACTAAGGCCGAGGGGCGTCCACTGGACAGCACACAGACAGACCCACACGGTGTTTTACTCATTTTTGTTCCATTCAGTATCACTTTTTTGTCTGTCCATAGACAAGGCAGAACTCACGAGTAGTTGCATTTACATCTTTTGACAATTTGTGTAATAGTGTGTGACTCAAATGTGCCATCTCATGAACAGTTAACACAGAAATATCCGAAAGGCTCGGACACAAATGTAAATATTTGTAAACGCTATTTCCAACAGACACACAGTCTTTTCAAATTGAGGTGAGACCACTTCTAGCTTCAAGCTCAAAGTCCAACCTTTTCCTGTGGCCCACAAACACATAGTGACATAACACCACCATTGTCAGGGTTTTTAAAATAAAACACAGCAACAAGTAGAGATCTTATTTTTTCCCATCTTTCCACCTCGGTAAGTGTTATATTGCTTCCCGTCCAGTCCCTACATGCCTGTCTGAGCCTCCATAGGTGAGAAGAATCCAGGGAAATAGCAGAAAGCTGTCCTGACATGCAGAGCCACTGAGGACTGGCTGCTTGAGCTTGTGTTTGTGTGTTTGTGCATTTATGAAGAAACAGGGAGTGTAGACAAAGATTAGGTGCTCACCTTTATACATTCAAAGTGACACATACAAAAGGGTGACAGATTAGAGAAAAACCTGAAAAAGTGAGTGGAGAAACACAACAAATGTGGATGTTTACACACATGCGCACTACAGGGTACAATTAAGGAATTAACATCCAATCCAGCTCTGCATGAACAGAGTGAGCTGATTCAGATTTTGGATCAAGATGGCAAGAAGAGAAGATCCAAATGGCTTTGAAAGGGGTTCATTATTGTGGCACAGATGGCAGGAGCTTCAGTCACTAAGACTGATCAACTGGCTTCCAGAGGAAAAGTGACTATAGTGACATCTGCATTTCGATATATAGGAAAGACTTCAATAAATAGGGTTGTAAAGGAGTATTGACAGTGACATTTGATGCGTGTGATACTTGTGGGTTAGAATGATATGTGTAGAACAACAGAAG